GCAGTAAAGCCGGTTCTGTGAATAGTAAATCTCCATCACGTGCTTTCAGATGGACCGGCATTTAATACAGAGAGCCGTAGATCACTGCAATATCGCGTTCATAATCGCAGATGAGTTGCATTCGATTATGAACGCAATATTGCGTAGCTTGTCAATGTAATTGTTTTTATTTATGCCATTAATGTTTTGTTAATACAGTGTATAGCATTAGTCAACTAAATGAATGTAACATGGCAAAGATGAATGCACATTTGGAAGTTGAATGTAAGGGAAATGTCATTTTGGAATTTCTGTGGTCTAATGTGATATTGTGTTTCATGTTCCAGGGCTCCAGACTGTTCTTCCCACTGGTCGCTCTTTTGCGACTAACTTTCTCAGTTGGTCGCACGAGCACATGATTTGGTCGCAATTTTTTATTTATTTTTTTGCTACAACATTTGATTAATCAATGCATGCTGATGAACTTTTATCATAGTTTATAGTTATATGGTAACGAAAGTGTTCAACATTCAACCCATTCTTTTTCATCAGTATTATTTGTGATTTCACCATACTTGGCCACATGTCACGTCACGTCACATCACTTTAATCAATGCATGCTGATGAACTTTTATAATAAGTTTATAGTTACATGGAAACGAAAGTGGTTAACATTCAACCCGTTCTTTTTCATCAGTAGTATTATTTGTGATTTGATTTTGTGAACGGGAGATCCTCTTTTGCAATGATATAAGCAATGACAAACTAGCTTACAAAACGTTTATTAACAAAAACGAATAAGATGAGGCATGGCATACACCTCATGTTTACTTTAGCTTGAAAACCATTCATCGTTTCCTCAATATGTGCGTCATTTTTGCTGTGTGCACCTTCGCGCTCCTTCTGACGCGGCAAGTATAAACCAGGCTCTACACTCTAATGGCGCTTTTCCACTGCGTGGTACGACTCGGCTCGGTACGGCTCAGTAAGGCACGGCACGGTTCGGCTCGGCACGGTTTGCGTTTCCACTGCAGTTCAGTACCGCTTTAGAGTGGGCAGGATTATTCACATGTCGTTATAGTTGCG